GTAGCATAGCTTATTTTCATACGGGTTACATAGATGAAGACCCGTTCCTGTTATCTGTTTTGTGGTTTTGCTCTCATGGTAGTCATTACCTCCAGCAACCGCCATATAGAGTGTGTTGTGTTCGATGATACATGTCTGACCCTGCCATGAAAAAAGGTACGTCTGTAATTCAAATAGTTGCCATTGACGGTTCTTCTCGTTTGTAGAAACTTTTATATGAATTACTAGTTTGTTGTCTGTGAAACTGCAGTCACAAATTGGGAGCTCATAGTACTTAGAAATTTCCTGCATTTGGATTGCCAGTTCGTGTTCCCTGTTTTTGAGCTCGGTGTTCAGGTGTTTCAAATCTTCCTCAAGTATTTGGGGAGTTACAACCTCCATTGGTATGTGGTGGTGTTTACAAGAATCTATGATACTTTGTCTCTTCATGGTTCTGGTAACTGTCACTACCTTTCTTGCCAGATCTATGTTATTTTTTAAGATCAAGTATATTAGGTTACGCTGTGTTGCCTCTTCTTTTAAAAACTCATTGCCCACCGTTTCTACAAAATTCTCCAGGTTTTTTATTTTCGTTTCGGTTGTTTTTAGAGCCGCTGCTGTTTCTTCTTGGGATTGTTTCATGTAAGATGATTGTTCTGCTATTACTTTAATCGCTGATTCAAGCCCTTGCGTTACTGAGTCCAGTCTTGATCTTAAGGAATCTGTGTCCATGACTAAAGAGTCTAGTTTCTGTTGGGTGGCCACCCCGCAGCACCAGTTAAGTCCGTCCGCTATGAATGACAGGGAGATTGCTCTCTTTGTCTTCTTTGATTTTTTCAGGCGAGTAGTGATCCCATCGTTATTTAGGCTGCTTATCTCTTTGTCCACTGCCTTGGCTATTTCCTCCATCTGCTTCATTACCTTGCACTCTATTTTTCCTTTATCTAGGCATTCCATTGTCGTTTGTTTTTCTTGCACTTCGTCTTGCCATGATACGCTATATGTCAGGGGTATGGATCCTCCATATGATATGGTTTCCGGCAGTAGCTTCCATGAGGCTCCTGCGGAAACTTCCACTTCATTCCCTTGGTGTGCACCTATGTACACCACCAAAATCCTGTGAACAAAGGTAAAATTTGTTAGGATTTGTTTTCATCTTGAGCTACCGTTCCTCTCCATTTTTCCTCTGGCGATTATCTTATACTCCCTAGCTAATGTTTTACCCTATTTTTTCTATCCTATTTCTATTTTCCTACTCTATAGTTTTTTGCTTATGTTTTATCTATACAATCAGTCTTCTTCTTCCTCGTTTTCTGCTTCACTGATTCCAATTTCTTCTTCAATTTTTTCTTCGTCTCCTTCATCCTCATCAACTTCAGATTCTGCGTTTTCGGCCATATCTGTCTCATCTGCCCTTTCTTCAATAGGCGCAGCTTCTGTCCATGGATCGTAGTAGGGTAACATCCTACTCACGTGGACCGTATCCTTTTTTCTGCTTCCAATCTTTTGTACCTCGTAATTCACTTCTCCCATTTTTCTAATTACTTTGTATGGTCCAAACCATCTTAAGAGTAACTTTTCACTTCTTCCAACCTTTCTGATTGGGATAAACACTTTAACTTTGTCTCCAGGTTCAAAGTCCAATTCTCTATGTCTTTCATCAAAACGCCCTTTATCTTTCCCTTGTCTTTTCTGTATATTTTCCACTGCTATGGCTCTTATTAAGAGTGCCTTTTCTCTAATTTGCAGAGTGTCCGTCGAAAGTGGAAAAACCTACAGAAAATGTTATAATTAAAAACGCCTTCGCCACTATATCAGGAATTTTCTAATTCTGCTTTCCGTCGCCATCTGTTTTTTTTTTTCGGTTGTACTGCTTAGTGGCCTAGTTTTATAAATAATTCGTCGTCAGCGTAGCCGTGTCGCCCGTGTCCGTGTCTGCTTCTAATTATCTGGGCCATGCATTTGAATTACTTAAATTTGTTTATTATATGTGTATATTTTTTCTTTTGTGTCTTGGGTTTTTTTTTTCAATATGGTGACATCACTACTTTCGCAATATCCTATGGCTTGAATCCTGAATCCCACTTCTGAAAACTGTAGACTGTAGATTTCTTCGAAATGCGACTGTTGAGTCCGGGTTTCCCAATCAAATAAGGCACGTAACGGTTTTTACTGTTTTATTGAAGTCCTCGTTAATTCAACTATAACGACACCCCAGCGCAGCCTGCAGAAGGAAGATGAAACGGGAAGTTTTTTACCTATTTCAAAAGTGATCTATCATCTTCTCTCTACCGACATAACTGGTTTTCTAGTCATCCGGTACTCTAATTATTTTGAAGGTCGGGTTTACAATAATTACAAAATACAGCGCTGGGCAAATTCAAATAACTAAAAATAATTACTACACTTTAAACATGTAGACTACTCTGGACGTAGACAAGAAGGGACAATTAGGAAAGGCAAAAAAATATCGGTGCAACCTACAGCAATTTCGAGAAGGAAATCTAATTATTCCGGTAAGATCGCATACTGTAATAATTATTTTTGTATGTAGATGTAATAGTCCAGGAGGTGGCGCCAAAAACATGCAAGAGTTTTCGCAAGGCGGATATTTTCAAAATAGGTCGTACTTTAGTGCAAGAATGCTAGTGTATAGTCAGCACTCACAGTTCCGGGACAGCTGGCTCTGGGACGTGGGCAAAGTTGTAATTTTAAGAAGCATCTAAACTGTTTTCTCAAAGCTCAAAATTTATAGAAATTTTGCACATTATCTGTTTGAAGGTCACAGATAACGTATGTAAATCGTCAGACGTCTAGTTCGTTGCAAAAAGGGGGTCAGACGTCCTCAAAGTTTTTATTTTATGGCATTCAGGCCTATGATGTATCCTGTCCTGTTATTTTAACGGCTTGTTATGGCTCAATATCTATTTCCGTCTCTATTTTGACGTATAGAATAAACAGTGACAGATAACTTAACGCTACTGTTAAAATAACAGAAAATGATACATCATAGGCCCGATTTTCTTCAAATATATTTGTCAAATACCTGCAAAAATATATTTTGACAGGACACCGAAGAAAATGCCATAAAATAAAAACTTTGAGGACGTCTGACCCCCTTTTTGCAACGAACTAGACGTCTGACGATTTACATACGTTATCTGTGACCTTCAAACAGATAATGTGCAAAATTTCTATAAATTTTGGGTTCTGAGAAAACAGTTTAGATGCTTCTTAAAATTACAACTTTGCCCGCGCCCCAGAGCCAGCTGTCCCGGAACTGTGAGTGCTGACTATACACTAGCATTCTAGCACTAAAGTACGACCTATTTTGAAAATATCCGCCTTGCGAAAACTCTTGCATGTTTTTGACGCCAGCTCCCCAACTATAACAAGATCAACCAAATTTTACGAAACTCACTAATGCAAAAGATTAAAATATAGTATCAGTGGTGAGCCCTACACAAGTTAACACTAATACTAAGAGACAGGTACAATGTAGGTTCCCTTACCAAAACGTCACCCCTTTGGAGAAATACCAAACGGGATTGAACTGACGGCGAAACTGTAGAAATGAAATTCCAGTTACCCCAAAATTGTGAGCATTTACTAGTCTAGAAAATCTAGATAAAGGGCTGTTATATGTTATAGTTTTTTGTTTGCATTATCACAGAGCTTGCTTTATCTATTGGGTGTCTGATTCATTCTTTCCGCAGCAGCATTAAGTTGGGGAGTACATGGAAGAGTATAACTCACAGTCCAACTTTTATATTCTGATACTCTAAAGTCTAAAGAAACGTGAGTTGGTGACTCCCCATGCCAATGATCACCTGACCTCACATCTATTTTTGCTGGATTTTTCTTCCCCTCACTCCTTATCCAGAAAGTGTCAAATTAAAGAAGCGAAATTTTTCTGAATATAAGTTTATCCAGAAACCCACAAAACATTGAAAAATCGAACATAAATACGGTAACTATGCGTAACAAAAATGAGTGCGCAAAGAGTTTCCATGCACAAAGTTCAACTTTGCACAAGCAAGTAGAAAATTGTAGTTTTTCTACGAGTGAAATAATTATACTTCTATTTTAAATTTTTAATTTCTATTAGGCATCAAAAACAATTTTTATCTCCGCGGGGCTTTGCCACCTGAAAAAGGAGGCCAAATATGGGCTCTCGCAGCAAAATATAGGAATCCGCCCCCCAAATATAGGGCTCTATCGGGGCTTCGCCCCTAAAAAGAGGCCCCCGCGGGGCTGTGCCCCTAAAAAAAGTGGCTTCCGCGGGGCTCCGCCCCCCAAATATGAGACTCTCGCAGGGCTTTGCCCCCCAAATAGGGGGTCCCCAGATTTTATTATGGGTACCGGAAAAAAAAGTGTGCGGGAAAAAATTTTTCCCGCATAGTGTACGCAAAGTAGTTACTTTGCGCACACTTTTGAAAAAGGGCTTCTTTGCGTACGCAAAAGTGTGCGCAAAGTAACTTTACTTTGCGCACACTCGTAGAAGAAAAAAAAATATATCAAAATTATAGAAAACAGTGATGTGCCATTTTTTCCTATTTTTACCAACGTAGTTACCCTCTGGGGCACCACTGGAATAATTACGGTAAACCCAATTGAGTCGAAAGATACCTTCTGCTCTAAGAATACCACAATCCCACTATTCAGAAACACCCTCTTTATAGTACTTACCTATATCAAAATACCCGAGAGAATACCTGATTGTTAGATTAAAGTTAATAACTGTATGTACAATAATTGTGATTTTATGAATATTGATTCTAAATAAGTTAATGATAGGTCTGTTTCTGCAGAAATCACAAACCAGTCAGAGCAAATTTCATTGGTTGAAAACAGTCAAAAGCAGCCAGAAAACTAGTTTCAACCAATGAAATTCACTATGACTGGTTTGTGATTTCTGCAGTGCAGAAACAGACCTATTAATAGTAATACTAATCGAGCAATAGGTAAATAGTCAGCTTACAGGCCCTGGTTTGGCGAAAATTGAAAATTAATTTACTTACTTGTGCTTTGGACGCATTTTCCGCAAAGAATGTGACCGCATTCCGATAGACAAAACTTGAAGTTTGGCTGGAACTTTACCCAGCATTTATTACAAGTCACCCAGTGCATTTGCAATCTTGATTTCACTGATATTTAAAACTAATTATTGCTTGAATGTTTTTTTACATTTTTCGTCCTCCTCGTAGCCACACTTTTCTCCATATAGCAGTGGCAGTGAAAAGTAGCGCGTGCGTAAATCGAAAAAACAAATGACAAAACACAAGATGGCTGCTTTGACAAGTGACTCATAGGAGGAGCTCCGGAACAGCTCCGGGGCTTCACGCGCTTATTCCTTTCGAAAAGTGTTTGTTGCACCACGCATATGTTCCCTGCAAATCGGGGGCGACTAAGCACCGAAGCGAGTAGCTCGAGTGTTTCAAGGTCTTGAAAGGAATACAACTATTGGTGTGATCTGACCGCTCTGACGTTGTTTGAGACGCGTTCGATAACGTGGTTCTTGAGGTGAGTTCGGAATGGTAGAGAGTGTCGACACTTTTTACACTATTGACATTGTGGCGATCGTTACTTAGTAGGAGCAAATTTGGTGTACACTTTATTGACGTTTGGAAATGCTTTGGTGTTTACATGGTGTAAAGATAGTGGGACACCGTTTACTCGTCACAAACCGTGCGTTCGTTATTTTGATCTGAGTTCTCCGAGTTTAATTTACCGTTCGTTTATTTGAAAAGTGTACTCGGTGCAGGCTCATTAGCGTTCGTTTATTAAAGTTTTGGGCACTCTGATACAGCGTTCAACTACTCTGTTCGCTTGCTGGTCAAGTGATTATGGCTATGAGCAAAATACTGAACGAACGGAAAGTGATGGCTCATTTGGTGTTACACCGCCGATTACACTTTCATCACGTGATATAACACTGCACTACACGAACACCGCACTAGCACTGCACTAAAATCCCATTCCGAACTCAACATTTTTGAATGTCGAGTTAGTTGTCAAGGCCTTGATACTCCGGTTAGAACTCGCTCTAGGTTTCGGAACGACGACTGTCCGGAACGGAACCTATATTTCATTTCTGTCCGGATCCCTGGTTATAAAATGTTTCAATTATGATAATGAATACTTCAACAGAACCAACCTGTTGAAGTATTCATTATCATAATTGAAACATTTTAAAACCAGGGATCCGGACCGAAATGAAATATCGGTTCCGTTCCGGTCCACAGCGTCACGACAAATATCAGTTCCGTTACGGTTCCGGTTCTAAGAGAAATATTTCGATGCGGTTCGGACCAATAATTTCACCGGTTCAGACCGGTATAGTTTGTCACAAATATCTAACAGAAAAAATTATGTTTATTAAATAGGTCTGTTTCTGCACAAATCACAAACCAGTCAGAGTGAATTTTATTGGTTGCAACTAGTTTTCTGGCTGTTTTTGACTGTTTTCAACCAATGAAATTCGCTCTGACTAGTTTGTGATTTCTGCCGAAACAGACCTAACAATAATTACTATTAATTATTACAGTTTGTATTTTTTAACTTTGCCTGTGCGTCATCAATGACACCATGCATATTCTTATATGAGGTTAAGGGTGGATTTTCATGCATCCGTTTGTCCAACGAAAGATGTCCGAAAAACATTATATTCTGACATAATCATATAAAAATATGTCAAAATAGAAGATTTTTCGGACATATTTCGTCGGAAAAACGGATGCATGAAAATCCTCCCTAAGTGGTGGCCGTACACACGGGAAAGTTGAAAAATACAAACTGTAAAGCCTAGTACTCATAACTGCGAAATTCGCATTTTTTTGACATTGCTTCGACAATTTGACGTTTGATACAAGCATAAAACGTCAAATTGTCAACGCAATGTCAAAAAAATGCGAATTTCGCAGTTATGAGTACTAAGCTTAAAGGAGGATTTTCATGCATCCGTTTTTCCGTCGAAATATGTCCGAAAAGTCTTCTATTTTGACATATTTATATACGATTATATCAGAATAGAATGTTAAACGGACATATTTCGTCGGAAAAACGGATGCATGAAAATCCTCCCTAAGTGGTGTTTTATTGCTATTTGAATAGACTTTTTGATAAATTATTTCATTAATTAGTATATTATGATATAGGAGTATAAGAGGGCCTTTAAAGCACGCGTTTTGAAAGTCGCAAGGACATCATAATCTCAGAAATGTTTTAAATGAGTTCATTCATTATGATAAATAGGTATTTGAATGGCAGATGAATATCCAATATCCAGGTAACAACGGTAGATTAAACGTTTCTATGGCAAACCTTTGAAAAGGTAAGCGCATCATAAACATCATTTTATGCACGCGGCAGCGTCCGATAATCGTTAATTATGATTCATGCGTAATAAAAATATCATTATTATAAAAATAAATAAAAATCTCAAGCCCCCCAACACGCCAAAGTACCAGTGATGACGTAGGCAGCCTTTATTAGATCTCGTTTGCATCTTCCTCTTTGCCTATTATGTTAATCAGAATTAAGTGATATTTTCCATCATGAGTGTATATTCTCAACTACGACCGCGCGAGTCGCTAACGACACCGTTGATGACGTCGGCAACGGTGCAACATCATATGAACTTGATTCCCAAAATCGACGTCGATGAGCAATCTTATAAACTAGTGTGTACTATCTTTAACCAAATTTTCGCGACGAATATACAGATCGTTTCACCAGGGTTCATACTTTTAAATATCGAACACATCATAACTTCAAAAGAGGGGTCGTTGACGTAGATTAATTCATATGACATTCAATCTTTGTTGACAAATTAAGATGAATGACTTCTGGTCTGAAAACCGACGAACGTTTTAGAAGTCATTGATCTGTTTCAGTCAATTTCTATTTGTTTAAAACGGAAGGCAAAAAGTATGAACTCTCGTGAAACGAAGTTTAGTTCATCCAAGGACGAACCATAATTCGTTTTGTGACGTCATGAGTTTGAACGCTAGCTAGAAGCTGCGTCCATGCTTTCGGTGAACTACGTTCAATATGACGTCATGAGTTTCTCGCGAAAGCGTTTGTGTTCATGAAATCATAGAAGTAGTTCGTCGCGAAAATTCGATTTTTGATGAAGCATAGCCGAGTTCAGAAATGCGCACTTTCCAACGCTCTGTTTTTTAGAGTATTAAATTTATTACGATACGACCAAACAGCAAACAACTTTATTTAGGAAATCTTGAAACCCAAAAATATAGGTAAGAACCGACCGAGATATCGGTCCCAGTTCTGCCTGCCTTACAACATTTCTATGGAATATGGGTTTCGTTCCGGTTCCTGCTCCGCTCCGGTTTTCGGATCAATATCGTTCCGGGCCCCTGTTTATGACTAGCATTTTACCGCCAGGTAAGTAAAACAAAACTAACGATTGAGGGCGGGAAGTATAAAACTATTTTGACCAATAACCAAAAGTTAACATCTAGAATTTAAGATGTGACGTCATTCCACTGAACAGGAATCTATTCGGAATACACAAAAATATTTTGTCGCCACTAGTTGTGTTATGAGTCTCATAACATAACTCTATAACTAGAAAAATGGGTACCTACCTATGTAAAAACGTCATAAGTAAACGATTGTAGATATTAGTATATTGTAGGCCTAGGCGGGAAATTTAATCAAACAATATCGCAAACAAAAATATGTAAAGTCTGTTTTTTTTTTAAAGATAATTCCCCATGTCAAAAATTTAGTAACTTTGTTGGCAACACAAGCCTTTAAACCAAGAATTTCCGGAAAGGTGGATTGGTAGGCGAGGTTCTATTGAGTGGCCTCCAAGGTCGCCAGATTTGACACCATTAGACTACTTTTTGTGGGGACATTTGAAAAGTAAGATTTACGACACTCAACCAACTTCTTTACAAGATTTACGAGAGCGAATTATAAATGAATGTCGTCTCATAAGACCAGATATGCTTCAAAATGTGAGAAACCGTTTTGAACAGAACCTGTACCACTGCATGGAAGTTGGTGGTCAGCACTTTCAACACCCATACAACACACTTCGTACCAGGGACGTACTTTTTAAGTCCATTTTACGTCGGTACGTCCGGGACCAACCTGGGACGTACAATGTACGTAAAAAACTACGGTACCTGGGACGTACACAGCGGTTTCGTACCAGGGACGTACATTTTATGTCAATTTTTATCAGTACGTGTTGGGGCCAAAAATGGACGTACCGTGGACGTACACGTATGTACGTACATAGAACGTCCACAGAATGATGGATGTAGGTACATTCAAAGTACCCAAAAAAAAAATGCATAATATACAATAATTTATTCAAATGTGTATAATTAGGATTATCATTGGCAGGTACCAAAGAATTGATAATATATATACCCTCACCTTTTAGCAGTTATACCCTTATTTTAATAGTGATTTTATTATTTTTTATATTTATTTATTTTTAAACCCAAACAATAAATCATAATTTAAATTTCCCGCCAGTTCAATTGAACAACAAAATCTATCCCAAGGTTCCTAAAGTTAATAGGTTGTCTGGCAATGAGTAACTTGATGACGCATCTGTGGTGCCTTATGAAGATTTGCATTATGTTGAGGGCGTTGAGGCACCTCAGATGACGTAATGAAGTTATCAGGCAACCTACCTCCCTCAAATAACCTTGATCTATTCCTGCGTTTTTATTCTCATCAAATTTCACCGATGGATCCATCATTATATGTCGGTCATTGTCATTTTCCATTCACTAAACAAAGATAGTTAACTCATCGGTGAAGTGACTGGATTGATTAGAATAAAAACGAGGGGTATACGTATACCATAAAAAGATTGGCATAATGTAATATTCACTTTTTACAGTAGGTCTGTTCGTGCAGAAATTACAAACCAGTCAGAGCGAATTATTTCTTTGGTTGAAAACAATCAGAAAACTAGTTTCAACCAATGGAATTCACTCTGACTGTTTGTGGTTTCCACTGGTGGTTCACGCGCCACAATTTAAAAATAAAAAGCTCAAAGTACGGAAGCGCCCTCTACATTCTACAAGGGTGACTCTTTTATTCATGGATGGATCCATCTGCTGCCAGCGTTATGAGACAGCCATTCCGATTTTCTATGAACTAGACAAAGATAGACAGGTCATCGATGGATCCTTCGGTGAATAAATGAAAGCGCCTCAGCTCAACTGTCAATTGTCAATTCATTTGATGCCATATGCCATTCGCCTAATTGAGGTTGAAA